AAGTTCGCACAATGTCTCTAAGTGCAACGAATTTCGGCGCGACGTTTATGTAAGTTTTAACACGCTCATTTTACTCGTACAGTTTTATTTTGGAGTTTGGAAGCTCGTTTAGATAATAAGAGAGGGAAAAAACACATTTTATGGGCTGCCGGCCATTTAGCATTTTCAAGACCTTGACCGGTAACCGGCCATATAGACACAGCGTTTTTTTTAAACGCCATTAAAAAACTGAGCATTGGGGCAAACAGCTCAAAATGTCTGAAATACTTCTCAAACTAACGTTTAATGAATAAAAAAGTGAGTTTCGAATTCGAAGTGCTTCTGATGATCTTTTAATTAAATTTTCTCCCATGTAAAAATATCACTGAAAACTACCCACCCCTCCCCTCAAAGTTTTTTTGTCAAAACAGTATGATGGTATTGTCAGATATGGGAGCAAGCTCAAATAGGTAAAAGGTGCATAATAAAACAAGAAATAAGCTTTAAAAATGAAAAATTAAGCATATTGTAGCATTCTACATAAGATATTTCGGATACGTTGAGAAGACACATAAGAGACGCGTTCAAACTTCAATTTCACTTCATTTAATTCGCTTGTCAAGCCGTGAGGCTAGACGCACTTTTACACACACGATTACAGACGATTTCAGACGGTTCTATGTGGAAATACTGACAACAAATATTACATTTAAACGACAAATATTACAAGAGAATAACAAAGACATACCTCATGGTATCTTCTCTAAAACTTAACATGAATTATACTAATTATAACTCGCGGGAAAATACCGCTGACCGGATTATAGATTCTACACATATTTTGCATTTTTGAAAACCTATGTGTCAAAAACTGGTTGCCATGGCAACATGGATAACGTTATCAACAAAAACATTACACCAAAATCTGCCCAGATACATTTTAGGAAAAGTCCAAAAGTTTCAGAGCTGTAGCTGTCTAGGTTCAAAAGTTATTTGCATTTTACTCGAGGGGRGKCTCAAAAGGCCCCCTTTCCCACCAGTCTGAATAGGGTTATAAGTCCTAGAACAAGTTTCGTGAGCCTCACTTTCAGTATTGATACTAAATGTTAGGTTATGAACTTGTACGTGATTGCGTAACATGCTGTTGTTAGTTCATAGCCAATTAGTAGTTAGGTTGGAATCTAAAGGCCCGTTAACACTTTCAATTTTTTCAGCGCGATTGCCGCGCGACAATCACCACTTTGTTCTCTCGCACCTCAAATCGTACGTGTAAACAGCCCCGCGATTGTAGCGGCGATCAAAAATAGATAGAAAATATTATTGCTGAACAACAACTTAAAAAGTCTTTTGTGTGATTACTAAACTTTTTGATTTTTATTTCTCTCTTCATATGAGGATGTTCTTCAAAACCACAACAAATCGAAGCACCTGCAGTGTTACAGTTCGATCTTTTACGAGAGATTAACAAAGATGGTTCAATAATAAAGAATCTTACCGTCATCACTTGCGAATGGATGGTAACGTCACCAAAAGAACACCTTGTTCATCTGAGGTTTAAATTTATAACTCCTTCAGAAAACAATAACTGTTACTTGAATCCACTAAYGTTCTCATATTTTTCATGGAAACTTAATGATTCATCTCAAATAAGCACAAAGTGTAAGATTACAGAAAAAACAACAATTTTGTCACCTGGGAGCAATATGATCATAASATTTAACAAGACGATTGATCATAACAAAGAGTTTGAAGGATACAACTTTACAGCTGAATTGRCAACAGTTTCTGTCAAGGATTCAAGTGAGTACCTATAAAAATAGCTGTTGGTTGGCTAGTATGAGTATGATTAAGTAGGCCGCCATTGACAGCAATTAGGGACATTAATACAATAGAATGCTGTTATTTTTTTAAGAAAAAAAATATAAACACGGCTTTAAAAGGCATACACGTCAGAAATATCATTATATA